CTCTCCGCTCTGCAGACGGACGGTCCGGAGCGCCGGGGATAAGTCACTTGGCCAAGGTGACTTCGCAGCCGAGCCCCAGCTCCGAAGTCCCGGCTCCAGCCCCTGCCCTGCCCGCACCGGCGCTCCCGTGGCCAGCGCTTCTCCTGCGAGCACTGCGGCTGCACCCCGCTTTGCCCCGCTCCTGCGCTGCCCGGCCAGCGGGGACCGCGCTGCCTGCCTGCCCGGGACCGGGGGATGGCCGCGGGGAGGCCGTGCACTGCTTCAGCGCCAGCACGCCCGCCGACAGGTCATTGTCTTACAGTTCATTCGGTACAACCACCGTTCGCATGTGCTTGTCCCTGGCGCGGGGACCGACCCGCGCTGCAGGGCCGCCGCTTGGAGCATGATGCCCAGCCCCGTGCCCGGGGATGCCCGAGATCCCCCGGCACAGGCTGCAGGGAGGGGCTGGCAGCCGCTCCCTCCCCACTGCACACCTGGGGCAGGCTCCAGCCCCCTGCATCAGCCTCACGCACCCGCCGCACTCCTCCTGCTCCCGTGGGTCATCCTGGCGTCAGCCCGGGACCGCGGGCTGGCTGTGCAGCGCTTGCTGCTGGGGCGCTCCCGTGGGACGCGTTTTAGAGGGCAAAGTTCTTAAGTTAAAGGATGCTGGAGACTCAAAAAAAGCATGTAAGTACCTGACCCCCTGCGAGGTTTGGGTGCCAGCACCTGAGCTGGCAGTGGGGTGGTAGGAGAGACTCGGAGATGCTTGAGACCACTCGGGGGTCTGGGGTCCAGGCTGTGGAGGTGGGAACCCGGTCCCACAAGTCGCTCAGGTGGGCTGGGAGCTGGAGAGGGCGCTGGGCAGGAGATGCAGGGCGGGTCTCTCTGTGCCTCCGTGGAGGTTTCGGGGATGCCGTGCTCCGCAGGGAGTGGCAGCGGGCTCCTGGCTGCAGCACGGCACACAGCCCCTTCCACAGCAGAGGTGAGGGCCGTGTGTCCTGCCCCAGAGATCGCCGCAGCTGCCTTCGGGCTGGCCACGGAGCTCCTCTCTTTGAGCCCCGCTGGAGAGGAGCCCGGCCAGCCTGCCAGGCATGGCTTGCTGCCTGCGCCGGGATGTCACGCTGACTTCTGTGGGCAGTGAAAGTTTTTCTGGAGCAGCTTTGCCACAGATGGCAGTCCGGGGTGAGCACAGTGCCCAGCGAGCCCCTCACTCTGGGGGCTCTCCCTCTGCAAGGGCAGAGCGCAGGCAGCCAAGGCTCCGGCAGCAGGGGTGGCTGCTCCCTGCTTTCCTGTCTCTGGGGAAAGGCTGGTGCCTGCAGGCATGGGAGGGAGCCTGGAGCCCCCAGGGGAGTGGCCCTGAAGGTTGGGGGGCCGGTGGTGCAAAGCAGCTTTGGGAGGGTGTGGGAAAGCAGCGCTGGGAGCTGATGTGCGGCAGGTTCAGTCAGCACTCCCCCAGCGTGTTTTCCTCGGTGCTTTATTTAGTGGTGACATATCAATTTTGACTTCCTGAGAGCACAGGATGACAGGAAGAAGGTCAGCCTCGATTTACCCCACACACTCAATTCAGATTACATTCTAAGGGTGGCAGACAGGTTTTAAAGTGTTACAAGCTGCAAGGAATCATCTTTCCTGTGAGTGAGCGTCCGCTTGCAGCACGCTGCAGGCTCAGACTTACCTGCAGAGCCAGGCATCCCTCTGCCAACTCCTGCTCCAGAGGGACAGCTCCTGTCCCCTGGGACACTTCTGCCTGTGAAGTCCCCTCTGTAGCACCCCCAGGGCTGCTCTAGGAGCCTGACAGGTGCAGGAGATTCCATCTGCCAGGAATCACTCCCTGACGTTAGCTCCGGCCTCTCCAGCAAAATGAGGAGTGCTTCTGTGTAAAGTTAAATAACTCCTCGCCTGCAGTGCTTGCAATGCAGCACTGCAGCAGGGCCCGGAGCCCAGGATGCAGGGCTCTCAGGCTTGGCTCCGGCTGCGACGTGCCTGGGGAGTTGTTAGCACCGGCTTGTGTGGGAGAATAAATCAGCAGCTGAGGCAGCTGCAGAGAGAGGCGAACCCCGGACTGGGCAGTGTGTCAGAGTTAAGGTGTTGGGGCAGCTGGGGATCGGCTTGTAGCTGTGGGAATTTGTGGATTTGGTGCCCAGGGAAAGCTCTGCAGGGGTGGCTGAGGTCTGGGAAAGGGGAGGATGGTGCTTTGCTGGGCCATGTCACATCTCAGCCGTGCCACATCACACACAAACGGGACAGGGCCGTGGTGGGATGGGAATGGGGAGCGGGGTTGCTCCTCTGGCCAGGACCAGAGCATCCCTGTGCTCCCAGAAAGGACCTGTGGTGGCCCAGCCCAACGCAGTGCCAGTCCCTGCACCCCTGGAGCACTCAGCTGCCCCTGGGCTCCTACTGCTCCTCTCGCCCTGCTCTCGGAGAGGCGAGGAGCGGGAGAGCTCGTCCTGCAGTTTGAAGGTCATCTGGCAGCTCCAGAGGGAGCCGGGGCTCTCGCTGCTGGGCGTGAGGGGCTGCTCCCGAGGGCCTGGTGGGGCTGTGGGAGGTCGAGCGGGTGGCAGGCGGCCAGGACAGCCACGCTAATTACTGCTCCAGCTCCCGCCTGAAGAACAGAGCTCTGCTTCGCCTTGGCTTTCTTCTCCCCTTTTAAGGTCTAGCTGGAGGCCTGTGGATAACATGCAAATCAGGGCTCTCATTTGCACGCTTTGTTCGTGGGGATATTCTGGCTCCCTTTGAACACACGCTGTCTCTGTGGGTGACCCAGCCCCGGCTCCTGCAGGATCGGGTCCCCTCTGTCACCGAGCCGTTCTAGGGCTGGGGACAGGAGCATTTGCAGCCTGGTAAAGGGGACGAGGGGTGACAAAGCCTTGGCCTCACTCTCTGCTCCCCTCTCCCTGCCAGGTTTGCACATCTTTGCCATTGCCTTCGCCTTGGAGGTGTCGGTGGGGAAGACCAGCACGGTGATGGCTCTGAATAACTCCAATATCCTGCTGCCCTGTACCTTCACCACCTGCATAGGCTTCCAGGACCTGGTCTTCACATGGTATTTCAACTCGACAGAGCTGGTGGGTGGCTCTCTGGGCTCTGCCTCTGCTTTCCTGGCAGGTCCTGTTGTGCTTCCCCAGTGCAGCTCAGCACTGCAGCTCTCGCAGTTCCCTTTCTCCCAGTGCAGGATGCCCTTCTCTCCAAGTGTCACCAGCTCTGGGGGAGCTGTGCAAATGGGGTGACTCAAACACCCTAGAACATCGTACTTTTGGCACAAAGCTGTTTTAGATTTGCTGCTGCCCACAGGCTCATTTGTTTTCATAAATTTGCTGTTCAGGTGCAAATCTGCGCTTAGGGCAAAATATGGTTCATTTCCTCCTCCTTTGCTTGCTCTGAAATATGAAAGGTTCTATATAGATTTACTTCCTGCTGGGAATATTTGGCTCCCCAGTTCCTCAGCAGGAGGGCTGGTTTGGAGCAGTTCTGGCCAGCAGAGGAGTTCACTTTCTCTGGGGATCTCTCATTTTTTGCATGGTCTGTTCCATCCTTTCAGGACAGGTCGGATCTGCTGCATCCCAGCAGGATCTTCATCTCCATGGCCTGAATGGGGTGTAGTGGGCCATTTGTTGGGGGTGCCTGTGTGTGCAGAGCTGAGCCTGGGCACCTTCAGGAGAACGTGAGCCTTTCCCTCACCCAGCTGATCCTGCTCCCACTGCCTCTGCAGATTTACCACGGCAAGATAAAGAACAAAGCCACGGAGCCCACCCTCATCTGGCACAACCCACGGGTGGAGTTTGTCGGCTCCACCACCAAGAAGGACAACAACATCTCCATCGTGCTGAACAACGTGGAGTTCAGCGATGCTGGCAAGTACACCTGCCACGTCAAGAACCCCAGGGAGAGGAACGCCCAGCACAACGCCACCATCATCCTCACCGTGGTCCATAAGAGTGAGTGCTGGCCGGGGCACTGGGGTGGCACTGGCCCGGGGGAAATGCCCACACACCATGACAGGCTCCTTGGTTCACTCTTGTGCTGGTGCGTGGAAGTGGCTGACATCCCTGGAAGCCTGGGGTGGAGGAGGTTCTGGGTTTTTGGGGCGGGATGTGCAGCTGGGATCTCCCTGCTCCCCTTCCGAGCCCCCCTCAGCACCTTTTCTCCCGCAGTGGTGGAGACAGACAACACTGTGACACTCATCATCGTGGGCGTGGTGGGGGGGCTCATCGGCCTCCTCATCCTCTTCATGCTCATCAAGAGGGTGGTCCTGTTCATCATCAAGAAGACGCAGGACGGGAAGTGAGTGCGGGGTGCTGCGGTGGGTTGGGGGTGAGCGGGGTCGGGGGGCTGT